ATTGTAGCGCTCAAATGACGCGGCAGCTTTTGATAAACACCAATGGAAAAAAGGTACAAAATGATTTGGCAATTTTCAAAAAATGAAATCCGTTAAAATCTTAAATCTTAATCTTAAATCTTACAACCACATTTTCATCTCTCTCTCCACTTGATATGCTTTCGTTTGCCTAAACGAAATGCAATAAACTTTTTCACTGGCATATTTTTTGTCATATTTTTTATTGCATGCATTTTTGTGACTTTTAAATGAATTTGACATTTTTCCAGGATAAAAAATATAGTGGAAATTTTCGCTTTTTTTACATAAAAGTTAATGTTTATTTTTTCCAGTAAATATTTTCCGATGTCCACGCAAATAGCTAGGCTTCTTCTGTCCTGCCATAAACTCTAACTAACTCCATGCAAAATTCCGTCATCTCCAAAAAGAATAGGCCATTTTCAATTTCGCGAGGATCGGGCCATAATTGCGACCTGTAGTTTGATTACAAATTAACATGGGCAGACGGACGGACGGACATACATAGTTACATCGACTCAACTCGGCGAGATAGGAAGAATCATACGACGTTTCCTGTGTCGGAAACCATTATTTCGAGGTGTTACATAATTTTTGTAGGGTATTACTATTGCAATTTGCAATTTTCTACACCCCTGTCTTTTTGGCGCTGCGTAAAATATCCTTGACATAAAACTTCGAAAACAAATTATTTCAAATATGAAATTAACTTACTGACAAACATTAGGTTTCTAATCCAAAAAAATTGTGCGAACATTTTGTTGAAAAAATTATGGCAGACAAAGAATATTTTTTCATTTTCAATTGGTTTTGTAAAGGATTCGATGAGATTTATGAAAAACGTATAAGAAGAATGTAAATGCATTTATTTATTTTTGGAAATCAAACAAATTCCTATTTCTCCATTTTTTTCTTCCAGATCAAACCATATATTTTTAAATACACTGCTGGTGATTTGGGTATTGGAAAGTATTCTCTATCCGTTCACAGAAAGAAACGTAAGTAAAGATTTTTTTCAAGGTACTGCTGATTTTAAACCAAATTAATTTTTCAAATATTTTTTCCTTTGAGCGTTTTGTTTCTTAAAATCTTGGACCCTATGTGGGGGATGTACCATCTTACACACACACTTTTCACATTATATGTTGTAACAACTGACCTGGAAGTGCTCCCATCCGTAATTTCATCTTGCCGATTTGTTCTGCCAAAAAATGATTATCACATATCCTCATGTGCTTTTTAATTTTGGAACCGTCTATTTGTAATATTTCACACCAACTTTTTAACTGCCGAATCCGGTAAATATGATCATTAATTGGAAAAACAAAAAGATGCGCGAATGATTCGCAATTAAAAATACATTTTCTTGACATTTTTTGAAATCACAATTTTTTTTATTAAGAAACAAATTATAATTGAAATTTAAAAATTCAAAAACCACAATTTTCGATTTAAAAACACAAAATTTCCGTAACCAACACTTCACAGCTTTGAAACCAGAATAACTTAAATTTCCCCAGCTTTTGCTTTTGAAACTTCTTAAAATCATAGACTACTAAGACGATTTTTCAAATAAAACTTTGGTAAAATATTAAAGTACTAAATAATGCTATGATTGCTATGATTATTTTTCAAAAACCAAAAAATTAAATTCTACGAAATGTCTAATTAAAATTTGAAGTCGATTTGTATAGTTTTATTTCATACATAGTATTACAAGAAGAGGGCGTGGACCGATGTAGTTAATTTTATATACCAGTCATCTTACTAGACACTATGCATGCTATTTGTGCAAATTTGGCACTTACATAGACGGACATATTTGACTTGAATTTCAAATTCAAAAAAATATATATGGTCACCTTAAAATTCATGAAAGTGTTTTAACCTGTTGTTTTGCACTACCCATACATACGCAAATTTCAAATTTCATTACAAACAGATAACCCAACATACCAAAATGGCTTGAGAATAATATTACAATAAGCTTATGAAATAAGCCTTAAGCTTGAGAAAACATTGAAAAATATTTTTATAACAAGTATAGAATAATCGAAACGGAACCCTTATTTATAAGCTTATACTTGAAATTGTAGAATAAGCTTACGAAAATAATATTATATAAAACATATTTTTGTAATAGTATAAAATATTGATTTTTAACCATTTTTCGAATTTTTTTCTTGATGGACATCCCAGTAGTCACTGCCTCATGTGGCCTTGATAAACTGACGCTTTCTTCTCCCTTATTTGAGCTTCTGCATCTCTTCCACTAACATCTATTGAATTCCTGCAACTTTTTTGATGCTTTCAATCTGAAATGGGATTGAAATAATATATGTCAAAGATTCTCGGATTTATTATTCATCCATACCTTAATAGTTTGGTGCAGAAATGTGTCCTAAATTCGCGTGATTTTGTTTTTTTTTTTATCAAAGAATATAATTTCTTGCTGACAATTTTCACAAAAAATCAAAACTAATTTGTCAACAAAGGACAGATTTGAGAAAAGTTTGTGAAACATAAGTGTTTCTCAAGCATTGTTGAAAAATTATATTTTTATAATTTTTGGTATGTTGGGAAATTTTTTGCATACTCATATATGTATAGGTAATGACAATTTTTAGTACACATTAAGGGGAAATTTTTAGCCGCATAAAAAATGTTTTTTTTTTTTTTTTGGTAAAGTCAATTGTCTTACAAAATCAAAGATGGTGCGTTTAAATTTTTTTTAGGGTTTCAACTGCGGAAAAGTTGTAATCGTCAAAAACGTTATATACCTGTATAAAACGTAGAAAAAGTATAAAACGTATAAACGTTTAAAATATTGTAATATCCCGCATAACACATACAAAATTGGTTGATAAACGTTTAGGTATTATTGGAACCTCGCTTCAATAATTATGTTTTCAGCAACTGAACTCGGATGGAATGTTTTCTCAGATGATTGACATGCGGGCATTATCAGTTATAATAAGCTTCATAAATATTCAATTTCATTAAAACTCTTATTATTTGACCAGGTTTACGACTTTTTCCACGTATGTATGATACGTCGGAAAATTATGTCATATACATAACAATGTATGAGAGCCCATCTTTGGTTAGAATTGCACACACACTATTGCAAAAAAACATAATGCATAGCTTACTATTATTTTTTTCAAAAAATGCTTGGGAAATTAAAAAGCTTTTTCTTTGGTAGAAAAATCATAGCAATTAGCTTTTGTATATAATGCCATATTTAGAACTTTTTGCAGGGTTAACCTACTAAATAACGATTTATTTGAAGTATGTAATTGATATGACAATTTTAATCCAAACCCTGTGAGTTAACCCATTTATATGTACTTCATTTAAATTGAAATTTTAAGGTTTATGGTTACACCACTTTTTTGTTTCACATTTGTACAAAAATCTAAAAATATATTAGGAGATTCATTATACAAAAAAGACATTACTTGAAACACAATTTCTCGCACACCAAATTTTTTACAATTTCTTTAAAATATAAAAATGTTGTCTATTTGTAGGAAACAAAAACTCGAAACATTCCCAGTTCTTTGGGTTTAGCGTCTTATATTTTGTGAAGCCTTTTTTTCTTTGCAACTAAATTTCAGAGTTCTGCTACAGAATTTCTACAGAAATAGGAACTGATTCGAAAACGTCAATTTGTCACATGACTATTAAATATTTTTATACCCTCAGCCATGTGGCTACAGAGGGTATATATCATTTGATACGGACGAAATGTGCCTAGTCGAAATAAAGGTTTTAGGCCCTAGGTCTCTTTGAACCAAATCCGTTTCAGGACATTTGGAGTCGATCTAGCGATGTCCGTCCGTCCGTCTGGCTGGTGCGCACGATAGCTCTCGAAGGGAGAATGCGATTTTGTCCAAATTTGGTGCTTAGTAATATTATTATTAAACATAGTTCGAGTTCGGAGATGGGCAATATCGGTCTACTCCTTCTGATACCTCCCCACATGGCAAAATAATTTTGAAAAATTATATGTCTCATTAAATGAAAAATGATTAATCAATGTCTGCTCACTCCTTCTGGTACCTCCCTGATAAAATATGGACATTTTGAACATATAACTCGCCTGCAAAAGAAATCTGATATTTCCTGCAAACCTAGTGTAACTATGTTAGAATGTTAGAAACGTATGTCTACTTATTCCTTCCTTCCCCACAATGGTCAAGCATTTTCCATATTTATCAAATAAAATGTAGGAAGTCCTTTATATTAGGCTTAGGTCAGATACGAAATGAACAATATTGTTGTTCTGTAATTCCCTCTATAATGGTTCGATATATTGAAAACCCACAGGACAAAAGTCTGAAAATATTTTAATAATACAGACTTAGGCTGAGGGTATTCATTCGTCGGTAATACCGACTGATACTATTTAACTTGTTCTTTTTTGAATCCATTAAAGATTATTCATAAAACCATTAAAACTCCTCGACTATAGTTCAGTACATCCGTTTAAAATCTTCGGAAATTTTCTTTAAATCCCCAGTTATATCTGACTAAATCACTCATGCAAATCACAGATTTGTTATTTTGGAGAATATTCATTATATAGATTCGATTATTACTCTGGTAGTTCGTGAAACTATTGCTATTGCTAGAATGATAATTCCGAAAAATGTACTTAATAATACAATATTTTTATCCATTGTAGCTTCCCTATAATTCCGATATAAATGACAAATTTATAAATTGATAAATGACGAAAATAATACAATTATTTGTTACGCAAATTACTCTTACTACCCTTACCAGGCCGACTTTACTGCTGCAGCACAGTGGGTTCTTCTTTCTCTGGGAATATTCTGTAGGTTTCAGGGATGTCCAATTCTAATGACTCAAAGGCATGAGATGCTTTCTGAAGTAATTAGTATCTTTATAATACTGTGAACCTGAACCTGAACTCGGATTACATTTTACTTTAATTCTTTAATATCTTCTCTTTAATCTTCAATTTAAGATGCTTTTACACCACCGGGGAACCAATGCAAACCATTGTCTTCGATGATCTCACCCAATACGGATACAGGCTAGCTAGTCGCCAAAAAGGACTCGATGAGGAACACTGTGTTGTTATTCTACGGAAGTTGGCCAAATTCTATGCCACACCAATGGTTCTATTGGAAAAGGTAAAAAATCCACAATAATGTAAAGATCAGGAACTAATTTTGTTATATTTATTCAGAGTCCTTCCTTGAAGGAGAACTTCAAAAGTGGCATGTTAGATGAGACCTATGTTCGGAGCAGTGAACGTTTCACCAACTTTATGAGTCTCCATGTCAGGACCTTCTCCGATATGGTGGCCACATGGAAGGGCTATGAGGAAATCAGCGAAAAGTTGCACTCCTATTGTGTGTAATGTTCAACTAACTATTGGTTTACCAAATTGCTTGTACAAGGACAGTAGTCCTTGACTATATTCTTGACTTTTAGGATGAACATGAAGGATATACGATGGAACTAGGGTTATATGACATTCGAGAGCAATCAGACGAATGGGAGCCATTGATTTGCTAGCTTTCAGCCGTGTGGGGGGGTTCGTGTCTGTTATTGCAGTCAAATAAATATCCTACCAACATAAACAAAAAATATTTAGTATTGTAGACTCCCGATAAACAAAGTAATAATGGTGATTAGACTAGTTTCTGGCCAACTATTGTACCCCTGTTGGTCCAGATATTATATAATTGACGTCGGAAAATCAATCCTAGATATTAATATCCAATTCTTTTAGCAAACTCCTGATGTTCGTTGGAGTTTGAGCCTCTAAACCCATTCCCAACCATGGTCTCAAGGCTTAATTTTATTGAGACCCCAAAAGCAAATACGTTTCCGCTCTAAACTACTTCACCACAGTAAGAAATATATATGAATATTTAGAAATTCATCTTATTAATTCAAGATTTATTAAATAAAATTGACATAAGCTCTTATTATATACCAAAAAAAAAAAAAAAAAATTTCAGAAAATCAGAAAATTTAAATCTAAGAGTCTAACTGGTTGAGTATTCATTTTTATGGACTATTTCTATGAAAATTTATAATTATGTTCAATATCTTAATGGCAATAGGAAGCCAATAATTACCAATTAGTTTGCTTAAAAAAAATATAAATTTATAAAAAGGAGTTCAGGAAATTATATAATAATAAGTATACATAATCCTATAACGTAATGCAATTAATCAGTATAAAAGAACTGAGAAGACAAAAAATACCTAGATCAACGTTACAGATGCGTGATGTAATCAAAAAAAAAAAAAAAAATGTATCTACATTCCAATGGAATAACAAGTTTAGGCAATAAAGATTTCTGCCATTGGCTCAAGGATAACTTGTTCCAAGGACATTTCTTCTCTAGTAGACGGATCCTTTTGATTACATGACATCCGAATTTTTAAAGCATATGCAAATATTTTAATATGAACTTCAATTTTTTTTTTAACACTCACGATTGTTTGTTTTTACTTTCTCCTTTAAGGATTTTTACATACTTGCGCGCGTGCGTAGTATCCTTTAATTCCACATATATATGATGATTCGCCGAGGCCTCGATGAACAGGATGTATGTGTGTAGGATTGAGGACATATATTGTTGTAGTGTATGTGTCTCTGTTTAAAAAAGGGGTAATTAATATTAAAATGGTTGCATATGTTAAGGGTGTTGTTCTACATATTTTTGTGATACTTAGGACATTTTAATTGGTTTTGGTTGGTTGTGTACTGATTTGATTATTGATGGATTTTTGCTGGTTTTTGCTTGCTTAAGGTATAGTTTGGTTTTTTGGTATGTTTTATATTTAATCACGCATAATTAATTTTTTTGATGTCGGTGGGATTCGAACCCTCGATGCTGATCATTTTCAGCACTCTGTACATGTTGCGTCGCCCGCTTCCACTCTGGGCTACTAGGCTTGGTTGCAGGCTACTGGCTAATGCTCGCTTTTACTAGGCTAGACAACAACCACTGTGGATTCTAAAATGGCACAGTCCACGAATAAATCTATTTTTAGAATACCAGCTACAACTCTTTCCAATTACTGTCAGGTGGTGGAATCCCTTTTTGTGCACGTGTTGGCGCACACAGTGGGGTATTTTTTCACTTGTGATTTTTTCTGGTTCGTTATTTTTGGCGGCAAAAGCAAGGTTATGATGTATGTGGTCTTCGGCCGAATATTATTAGCCGAAGTAACAAAAAAAAATGCCAATGCAAATATACGGCCACTAATGCAAATATAAAGAAAAGAAACTATTCTAACACCAAATTTTTTTTATATTTAATTTCATTGCTGCTTACCTAGTTGTTTTATAATGGATTTTTTTATTCGTGCTTGTGATTTAGCAAGGAGTAAAAAGCTTGACAATCGAATCAAAACTTCCTTAAGGGTAAAATTTTTTTTTTTTTTGTGTTATAAAAAGATTACTTCAATCTTAAAATTTCATAAAATTCACCTGGTTTGGGGTTATTATAATTTAATCAATTATAAATTTATGTACGTTGAAAACTAGTGATTATTAAATGTTTCACTGGTCGGTTATGCAACGATTGTGCTTTATCAAAGTTTGTTTTTTTTTTCTTATTCACGGTGTTGTCTCTAACAATGTAGGCGAACAAAAGAACGATTTGATTTTGTTGAGAAGCTGTGTGAGTCGTGTTCAGGCGTTTCATTATTTTCCACCACTTATAAAGGTTATTAGTGAGAGCTTAACGAAAAAAAGTAACTGACAAAATAATCGTTTAACCTAACCGTTAATTACCAATACTATGACGGATACGATGTTGACTCCGCCTACTCTCCGAAAAAATAAAAAAATATGAAAAATAAAAAAATGAATTGTCCTGGCTGGGAGTCGAACTCCGGACCTTGGGACTTGAAGTCCAGCACGACTCCTCTGAGCTAACCAAAGGCGTGTGGGTGGCTTGGCTAATTGCTTACTTCCGCTTATGCTGTTGTAAAGGTGGAAATATGTAGGCACCCTGTTTTTTTTACTTTTAGAGGTGAATAAATATAAATAGTGGGAATATGAAAAAAAATTGACGACATCCCAGCAAACATTTTTAACGGTAATGGTAATTAGATTAAGAATGTGAGCAGACCATAATTTCCCACAAAACCGAGTAATATCGATCTTTGAATTACGATATTAATCGGAATTAGATTAAATTATGGTCTTATGTCTTTAGCATGGTAAGTACCGAGAAGCTTACCATCTAAGTCTTCTAATTCGTAATAGACATTACCTACTTTCTTTCGGATTTTTGCTGGTAAAAAAATAGGAGCAAGTTTGGCGTTAAACTTCTTTTCGGCATTGCTTTGTGCAAAATTACGTCGGAAAACAGATTGACCGACAGTATAATTAATTGGTCTCGTCCTTAAATTGTACTGGTCCCGATTGGTTTCTTGCGCTTTTGAAATATTATTTTTGATTTCCTTTCGAATGAGTTGAAGTTGGTCTTCTCTACTGATATAACTGAATGGTTCATCCAGAGCTTTTATATTTTTCAATAGTGCGTACGTCTCACCGTGTGTAATCATATTTAGACCAAATACGGCAAAATATGGTGAGCATTTCGTAGCTTGATGAATAGAATTTCGTAAGGAACAACTTATATAGGAAAGATATTCATCCCATAAACGTTGATCACTTTTAAGGTATGCACGAATACTAGCTATGATAGATCGATTAACGCGTTCAGACGCGTTGGCCTGTGGCGAATAAAGTGCCGTATAAACGTGTTTTACTCCGAACTTCGTTAAAAAGGAGTTAAATTCATTGGATTTGAATTGAGTTCCATTGTCACTGACAATTTCTTCGGGTACACCAAACGCATGAAAAATGTTCTTTAGCAAGAAATCTCGAATGGGTATAGTGGTAAATTTCTTAAGAGGACATAGCCAGTGATATTTTGTTAAATGATCCAGTACAATCAAAACGCCAATGTACCCATTCTTGGAACGTGGATAAGGACCAAGTATATCTATATATAACCTTTGAAAAGGTCTTATTGTTTGGGTTGGCTTTCCCATTTCAGGCTTGAGAATGAAATTGGGATGCTTAGAAGTTTTGCAGGTTTCGCAAGATCGGATATATTCTCGAACATCAGTTACCATACCTGGCCAGTAAAAATTTCGTCGTATCAGGTCCAGTGTTTTTACTATACCACCATGTGAAGCTACAGGACTATTGTGGAACCTAAATATTAATGAATGTCTCATTTTTTCAGGAACCCATAACTTCCAAGCATTACATTCTTGAACGGAATCTCCTGTAAAATGCTCTGTTCTGATATATACAAATTGGTCTATTATTTTGATGTCGGGATATTTGGAGGGGTTATCCTGGATTTTATGTCTTAATGCTATATAGTCAGAGTCTTCAAAACAAGGAGAATTTAACTCGATTTCCGGCTCAACCTGATCGATGGCAGAAATCTCATCAACAGGTATTCTAGACAAGGCATCGGGCACAACATGGTCTCGGCCCTTTCGGTGGCTAATCGTAAAATTATAGGGTTGCAATTTGAAAACCCACCTTGCTAATCTACCCGTCAAGTCCGGTTGTTTCATCAGCCATAGCAGTGACGAATGATCAGTCACGACCTCAAAATCCTGTAATTCTAAATAGCATCTAAATTTCTTTATAGCCTCTATTGCAGCTAGACACTCCCGTTCAGTCACACTGTAATTTCGTTGGGCAGTGTTTAGCTTTTTAGACATGAACGCAATAGGACGTTCATTATTCTCTTCATCTAGCTGTACCAGTACTGCTCCAATGCCATAATCAGAAGCATCACAATGTAAATAAAATTTTTTTGTGAAGTCCGGATTAGACAAAACTGGTGCTGTACTGAGTAATTTTTTTATAGCTTCGAAGGAATCTTGAGCCTCCGGAGTCCATTTAAATTTAGTTTTTGATGAAATGGTTTCAGAGATGGCAAAGGTGATCGAGGAAAAATTCTCAATGAACCTTCTATACCAACTAGCAAGGCCTAAAAATCCCCTAACCTGTCTGACAGTTTTTGGAGTTGGCCAATTGACAATAGAGTCTACCTTTTCGGGGTCCGTGTGAATTCCACCATCACCGATAACATAACCCAAGTATTTTGTCCTAGTGACACAAAATTGCGATTTCTCGATATTTAATGTTAAATTGGCTTTTCGCAGCTCATTTGCTAGACGGGCTAATATTGCTAAGTGACTAGTAAATTCTTCGGAGACAATTACAATATCATCTAGATATCCGAATACACAATACCTAAGGTCCGGTGGAATAATCATGTCAATAAGTCGACACATGGTCTGTGGAGCTGTACAGAGCCCGAAAGGCATCACTACAAATTGGTACAATGGCCT